TCCCCCATCTAGAAAACATACCACAAAAAAAAAAAAAAAAAAAAAAAAAAAAAAAAAAAAAAAAAAACTTGGCTCAGATGTCTTCCATGAGCTCCCCTCCATCCCAGCCTAGGTTAAGTGCATCCTTAAGTACTCATGCAACTATATCAGAATATCTGTACTATGTTGAACAATATATTTGTCAGGCCTATATCCCCAAGCTATGGCTTGGATGTGTTCCTCCAAAATTCATCTAATGAAATTTAGTGAACCATGGTAATAGTGTTGACAGGGTGGAGACTTAAATCTGATTATGGTGTAGAAAGATGTGGCCTCTGGGAGGTGCTTGGAATTAGATAATGTCATGAGTTGGTCCTTCATGATTACCTCAAGATAGCTTTAAAAAAGAGCAGACACAGAAATACTTGGCTCTTGCTCTGTCTTGCCATCTGATACCTACACCGCTTTGGGACTCTGCAGAGAACCCCCACCAACAAAAAGACTTACACCCTTGACCTAGGACCTCCAAAACTATGAATGAGATAAACTCCTGCTCTTTATAAATCACTCAGATTTGGATATTTGTTATTAGAACAATGGACTAGAACAATGTCTCAGAATAAATTCATTCAACTGATAACACAAAATCATGGTGCTGGTGCCTTTTGGCCTGTGAATCTATATACTGTCCATTGTAGCTTGGACAGCTCTGCATAACCCAGGGCTATACCCCAGGCTGTAGTTCCCTTCCAGAGCTACTCTTTTGCCACTTCTGCTTAAATTACTGAGACATTAACTTCCATGTTATAGAAACTCTCAGCAACTAAAGGGTCACAACCTACAGGTACAAGGTTCTCTGTGCACAGAGCTTTAGAAATAATTACCACTCTTCTGCTAGAGAGATGTGGCCCCCCCATAGATCATTTGGACCGCTACTGCAGATATAAACTAAAAACATTCACGGTTCCTATCTAAGAAGGCAGTGTTAATTATGACGCCCTGGTCTTAGGACCTGCAATTTAGACCTTTTTCTTTAAAAAGTATTGACTTAGATTTAATGGTGAAGGGAGCAGAAACAATGCCACAGGAGATGAAATGTAGCTTTCTATTGGCAAGTTAGAAAATACACCGAGGGACTTGGTTCTAGAAATGTCATTTTCATGCCAAATTAAAGGTAAACATAATTATGTCTAATACATCAAAAGCAGTGAATTAAATACTCTTTGAAGCTAAAATATGCAGACAGACATAACTAATTTTATCTTATTTCATAATAACTCCATTATTTATTTATTGAGAAGTGCCAATCAAAAAACTAAACTAGTTTGTTTACAAGAAAAGCATTAAAACTAGCAGTAATTGTCATTGTAACTCCTGGCTTCCTGCTTTGGAAAATACATAAGCATCTGTTTTTCCCCCCTTTTAGCATCAAAATAAAGAACAACAGAAAATTTTAAGTAAGCAGCAGTGGTGGTTGAAGATAAAGCTTGGTAAGTCACTGTGAGTTTGCTGCAAATATAAACGCTGAGATTGTGACCAGGTACAAAACTATTCATCACAGTAATATGAAGACCCTGGTCTATTCAGCAGTGGGAGTGAACTTTCATTCATCTCAAGAAGCATCATACTTAGCTGTGAGGCTGACGCAAGGCTGTGGAAGGGAGTCCTCAAGAAGGGCTGCAAGGAGATAGGTCCCAAAGTGTACCTAGAAAGCCTCTGCTGAGAATCAAAACATGGCAGCTCTCTGGAGAACAGGGACATCCCTGAGATAACAGGGAAAGAATGTAGAGGCCTAAAGCCCTGCTCCAAAATGGAGGAAATTTCACACTCCCCAAAGTACCCCATATTTATACATACAACATGATATGCTCTGGGTGTTACAATGTCCCATTTCTTAGAATCGGGCAAACTGAAAAGGAGGAGAATCTACTAAGGGTAAAGGTGAGAAAATAAAGGACAAAGAATAGGTTTAGAGCCAAGAAAATAGAGCAAAATAATTACTGGGTCTAAAAGCTGTGCTTGGCATATGACTGGTACAAAGAGAATCTGGTACTATAGAAACTCAATCAGTTGTACAATGCTGATATGTATTCCACAGAGAATGTGACATCTCTGTCAGGACAGAATAATTGGAACTGGACTTGCCTTCCTGCCATAAACAACTAAAAAGTTTGAAATACTGGCACCTATTTCCAAACACTAGACAATAGGCAGTGGAAAACAGTAACGCTTGAGAGAAGGAAAGCCTTCAAAAGGGGATTCATTTGTCCCAGCTTTCCATGTGGCAGAGGGAGGCAAGGTTCAAGCATAGCACCGTGTCCCTAGGCTAAGGAGTCAGAGACTGAAACTCCCAGTCACTAAAGCAACTGGACTTTGTAGGGCAGAATCCTGGGAACAAGGCAGTTCCATAGGAGGAGATCAAGCACCTGGAAATTTGCTTAGAGGAGTCCTGAGGATCCTTAAAAAGTATGGTGTGAAACTCTCAGGTCTAGCAGAAAGTAGCTGATAGGTTTGAGAGATAACTGTGCTAAGAGACCAAACACTTTAGCATTCAGTTAAGATCACAGAAAGCTCACACCATTGGAGAAAAGGCCACTCCATAAGAACCATCTGAAATAAAACCAAGTCTAAGAGGATCAAGAGGATCCACAAATAATTTAACAACCTGCCAGAAGAAATTTCAATTTCCCTTCAAAGAAGAAAGGACATGCACTCAAGTTCCTACAAGGAATTATCTTCTATGGGGAATTTACAATAAAATTATACAAAGGAGAGAATGTGACTCATAATAAAGAAAAATAAGTAGCCAATATAAAGAGACCAAGAGATGACAAAGATTTAGCAATAAGCAGACAAGATTTTAAAATAGCTATGATAAGTATATTGAAAATGTGTAATAGCAAAATATGGACATATGAGTGAACAGATGGAGAAACCTCAGCAGAGAAATGAAAAATATAAAAGGAGACCAATTCTTATACTAAAATGTAATACATCTAAGAGAAAAGTTTATTAAGTGGGTTTAATAGCAGATTGGATACTACAGCACAGAGGACCAGTGAACTTGAAGACAGATCAATAGAAAGTATGTAATCTGAAGGACACAAATAAAAGTATTTAAAAAATTAAAATGAGACTTAGTGAAAAGAGCCTCAATAATACCAGTCTAACAGGTGTAATTGTCAGATGAGAAGAGAAAATAGAGAATAGATCAGACAAATATTTAAAGACATAATAGCTGAATATTTTCCAATTTGACAAAAAACATCTACCTACAGATCCAAAAAGCTTGGTGAACTATAAATGGTAAATACAAAGAATATAACAATTAGCCACATAATATTAAACCTCTAAAATCAGATGGGGAGAAGATCATAAACATAGTCAAAAAAAAAAAAAATTACCTACAGAGGAACAATGATTCAAATTACAACTTCTTATTAGAAACAATGGAAACGGGGGCCAGCAGACGGCGTGGTGGTTAGGGCATTGGACTCCCACATGGTTAACTATGGTACAATTTCAGACCTGGTGACTTACATTCTCATTATCCACCTCTCTACCCGTTCCCTTCCCACCTGTCTCGCTCTGGTGAGCACATGTGCCCTATAGCAAACGTAAAAGTAAATACATTTAAATTTTTAAAAAGAAAGAAAAAAGGAACAATGAAAACAAACAATAATAAAACAGCATCTTTATACCTCTGGGGTGAAAACCAAAAACTAAAACTAAACTTTTCAACCCAGAACCCTATACCCAGTGAATACATCCTTCAAAATTAAGAATGAAACAAAGACATTTGAAGAGACACAAAGACTAAGATTTGTCTCCAGCATATCTATATTACATAAAAGAAATTTCTTCAAGCTGAAGGAAAATACCAACCTAATACCCACAAATACAGGAACAAAAGAATACTGGACATTTAAAATAAGTGGTTAATATAAAAGGCAACCTTTTTCTCCTGATTTCTTTAAAAGAAAACTGACTATTAAAGGTGAAATAATATTGCATTGGAAGATATAAAAAGCACACAAATATATCAGACCACACGCAAAAGAAATAAAATACAACTATATAATAAAAAATTTCATTTTTTTTTAAGAGAGATTTTTTGCTATAGGGCATATGTACTCAATGGAGAAACAGTGAGAAAGAGAGAAATCAGGGGACAGGGATGGCCATGCCACAATCCCTTCTCTTCTCAGGATTTGGGGCATGTATGCACATGTGCCTGGTGTGAGTTTTTTTTTTAACCTGATGGATGTGGGACTCAAACCATGATCGACTATGTGGGAGTCCAGCAATGCAACCATTATGCCATCTGCTAGTCCCTAAAAAAAGTCTTAAATTGTAAAAAAATAAAAATAAAAATAAAATAAATTACAATATGTATTCTGAGAAGACTGTGATAAATTTAACATGTACATTATAAATCTCAGAGAAATTATTTTAAAAATATAAAGTGTTTTAGGTAAAACTACTAGATTAACAGTAGATTAACCTAAATGTTAAATAAAAATGAAACAAAGAAGAAAGTATGGAACATCTTATTTTATGTAAAAAGTTAGATTCAACTCAACTATATCAACAGCTCTCTTAAATAGAAATGTAATGTACTAGATACTCAAATTGAAAATCAGATATTGCCAGATGTGATGAAAAAGTTAGATTCACCATTATACATATATGGAGTTTGAGTAAAATGAGGGAAAGCAAATGTAATTATTATGCCTAAAACTTTGTGTGGTCATATTAATAACAAAAAAGTAAACTTTAAGACATGATTATTACTGTAGATAAAAGATAATTTACAAAATTTTCAGGAAGGAGTTATAAATACTTATGTGTATAACAATAGAATTTCAAAATTAAAGGAAGTATTTAAAGAACTAAAGAATGACACAAACCTGAAATCATAACTGAGCATTCTAATACATCTCTATTAATATCAGGCACAACAGTTAAAATGAGACTTAGTGAAAAGAGCCTCAATAATACCAGTCTAACAGGTGTAATTGTCAGATGAGAAGAGAAAATAGAGAATAGATCAGACAAATATTTAAAGACATAATAGCTGAATATTTTCCAATTTGACAAAAAACATCTACCTACAGATCCAAAAAGCTTGGTGAACTATAAATGGTAAATACAAAGAATATAACAATTAGCCACATAATATTAAACCTCTAAAATCAGATGGGGAGAAGATCATAAACATAGTCAAAAAAAAAAAAATTACCTACAGAGGAACAATGATTCAAATTACAACTTCTTATTAGAAACAATGGAAACAGGGGCCAGCAGACGGCGTGGTGGTTAGGGACAACTTCTTATTAGAAACAATGGAAACGGGGGCCAGCAGACGGCGTGGTGGTTAGGGCATTGGACTCCCACATGGTTAACTATGGTACAATTTCAGACCTGGTGACTTACATTCTCATTATCCACCTCTCTACCCGTTCCCTTCCCACCTGTCTCGCTCTGGTGAGCACATGTGCCCTATAGCAAACGTAAAAGTAAATACATTTAAATTTTTAAAAAGAAAGAAAAAAGGAACAATGAAAACAAACAATAATAAAACAGCATCTTTATACCTCTGGGGTGAAAACCAAAAACTAAAACTAAACTTTTCAACCCAGAACCCTATACCCAGTGAATACATCCTTCAAAATTAAGAATGAAACAAAGACATTTGAAGAGACACAAAGACTAAGATTTGTCTCCAGCATATCTATATTACATAAAAGAAATTTCTTCAAGCTGAAGGAAAATACCAACCTAATACCCACAAATACAGGAACAAAAGAATACTGGACATTTAAAATAAGTGGTTAATATAAAAGGCAACCTTTTTCTCCTGATTTCTTTAAAAGAAAACTGACTATTAAAGGTGAAATAATATTGCATTGGAAGATGTAAAAAGCACACAAATATATCAGACCACACGCAAAAGAAATAAAATACAACTATATAATAAAAAATTTCATTTTTTTTTAAGAGAGATTTTTTGCTATAGGGCATATGTACTCAATGGAGAAACAGTGAGAAAGAGAGAAATCAGGGGACAGGGATGGCCATGCCACAATCCCTTCTCTTCTCAGGATTTGGGGCATGTATGCACATGTGCCTGGTGTGAGTTTTTTTTTTAACCTGATGGATGTGGGACTCAAACCATGATCGACTATGTGGGAGTCCAGCAATGCAACCATTATGCCATCTGCTAGTCCCTAAAAAAAGTCTTAAATTGTAAAAAAATAAAAATAAAAATAAAATAAATTACAATATGTATTCTGAGAAGACTGTGATAAATTTAACATGTACATTATAAATCTCAGAGAAATTATTTTAAAAATATAAAGTGTTTTAGGTAAAACTACTAGATTAACAGTAGATTAACCTAAATGTTAAATAAAAATGAAACAAAGAAGAAAGTATGGAACATCTTATTTTATGTAAAAAGTTAGATTCAACTCAACTATATCAACAG